TACTATTCGATTTTTTATTTTGCCTGTATTTCAAAAAAAAAACTGACATGTGGTTCATACATCAACTATAAAAAATATCAGAAATACAGTTAAAGTTTTTTTATAAGTGGTTTTAAATTTTTACGAAATTTTTTAAAATCACAAAAATTTGTAAAGTATAAATACATTTTTAACTTTTAACATTTAAAGCTTGAAAAAATATTTCTTGTAGATCATCTTTTATTCGCATTAAAAAAACCTTAAGTGTTAAGCCATATACATTTTTTATGAACGTTTAAAGTTCAAATTTGATGAAATTGAATATCCAGACGTTGAATAACGATATTTTCTCGTTTTTGGATTTTTGTTTTAATTCTAAAAAATATTAAGTGTTGAAACTTGAAACATACCATTTATAGTTTTGAATAATTAGACAAACTTTTAATTATTTATAGGCGATTTAAATGTTCCGTATTTATATTCTCAAGAAAAAATGTTTCAAATTTAATACAAGTTGCTTTTCAGCCATTTAAAAATATGAAACTACATAGGTAGGACCATTTTTTTTATGGGCTTTATATTTGTAAAAATCTCGAAAATTTGCAAATAATTGAAGTTCAAAATTAATAATATTATTTTTAATTTTAACAGCTTTGACATGATATTTGTATACATAGTTTCTTATATTATATTGTTCCAACTCCAACATACATTTAAAAATATTTAAAATACAAAAGCATACATTTTATTCGATTTGTTAAAATTTTAATAAAATTGAATATTCTTCTTCAAATATAAAAAATAACAGTTTTCCTCTAACAATTTCAGTTATTTTTTTTGATAATTCAAAATTATTAGTATTGTGTTTATTATTATTTTCTATGCAATTTTCAAAATATTTAAACTTATGTTAACCTATTAAAACCACAATCTAATAAACATTTGTACCAAAGTACCTATATTGGTATCGGCTTATAACTTATAAGTATGGTGAAGGTTTGTATGTATGTATGTATGTTTTAAAAAAAAAACTAAATAAATGTTGGCTTTAACTTTGTATACAATATTTAATTAATATTGCAAGACACATAGCTAGTTAATGAATATTTATAAAAATAAATTACTTTAATGCATTATGATAATTAAGTTTGTTTATATTTTAATACAAATTATTTATATATTATATAATATGTACATCATAATAATATGTATTATAAATTATAATTTTTATAGAATAACCACGTAAAATGTGTAACAAATAAATTAAGAAAACTTATGTATGCATTTAAAAATTTAACAGAAATCTTAGAACTTAAGACAAATAGAGTAGTGTATCAAAAATTAATAAAATCCATGATTAATTATGGTATTTCTATATGGGGAGGTATGTATGATACAACTAAAAAATCCACTAACAAAAATGCTAAATAAAATACTAAAAATTATCCTAAAAAAAGACTCATGATACCACACAAAATATTTATATAATGACATGAATGTACTACCAATAAAAAAATTATTTTATAAAGCATTGGTGCTTTATATAATTAAAAATAACCTTACTTTTAAAACTGTACACGGACATAATACTAGACAAATATATAATATCAAAGTAGCAACAATGCACAAAAAATTAACATAATCTACACACTTATATATTGGTCCAAAAATGTACAATATATTACCATTAAAAATTAAACACAGCAACTCTTTTAAGATTCTTAAAAAAAAATTACACTTTGGCTATTACAAGAACAAAATATAGACACTCATAACAAACGTACAGGATTACTTCATTATTTATCATATTAGTTGTACCTACGACTTAAGCATAGGCGCACATTGGGTGTGAATTTTGGGGGTGCTGGAATAATGTATGGGTGCTTTGCCCCCCACACCCCCCTAAATCCTAATATTATAATAGACTGCATTGCATTAGATTTAATTTGTATTTGAATCAAATAGTTTGTATGATTGTAAAGAAGACGCTAGGTACACCCAAATGTGATGCATCCGTATTACAAGTGTACAACATAGGAATAATTAACTGTATAAAAACCACTCAGGCTGTACTCTAAGCTAAGAAACTACATTTCCACACTATAAAAATGAGAACATTTTCTGTGTAACATTGTTTTTATATTTTCGATTAACTAATAATTAGGTAATTTTTCATTTTAAACTATAAGAACTTTTTTTGTATTTGTGATATCGAAATATTAAAAACAATGTTGCACAGTCAATGTTCTCCTCTTTCTAGTAGGAACATTAGGTTGCATAACTACTTGAACTATAAACTGAGTAGTTCTTATCTGCCCAAGCCGTTTTACTATGTTTTACATTTGTAAAACGGAGACCACACATGAAGGTGTGGCATCTTCTTAATAATATTTGTCATTCCGAATTTATTTAATTCAGCGTAGCCCGCGCCCGCAGAATAAATAAATATATTATTAAAAACCAAGTAATAACCAAAGTTATAAATAGAACATTTTGTACCCAACCGTGAACCGTAAGATAATATAATTTTCTATAATAATATGATATAATATGATTGCTGCGTATTGTTTAATGTTTTGACAAAAACTGAAACATTGAAACGTGCATTCACACAATACTGTTTTAATCGTGAATTCGTAAACAGTTGTCAATATTTGTAATGGAAAGAAAAATTTCGAACCAATAAACCACAATAATTTATAAATGATTGGTGAAATACTGAAATAAATTGAGGGTGCTAGTTTGAAGCTTGGGAGTGGTAAGCACCCCCAAGCACCCCCCCCCCTATGTGCGCCTATGGACTTAAGTAATTATTGTTAATTTTAGATTTATATTACCATATCATAGGTATTGTGTTTTTAACTACATATAATATTATATTAGATAAACAAAGAGAAGAAAATAATATATATTTACTTATATTAATATTATAGTTATGTGAGAAATATATATTACAAATTGTAATTATTTAATTTATATAAACTATTTAATGAATTTATATTTCAAATTGTGAACTCGTGGGCCCCCACATGAACATGTTCAGTGGGGCCCATTATCTTCTTGAAAAATAAGTAAAAATTAAAAAAAATTATTATAATATACTTGATTATTCTTAATTGAAAAATGTATAAACAATTTTTAAATATTAATATGTATATCGTCGGCTACAGACGAAAACCTCGTAAGTCACTTTTATCAAATTTTTCAGGAACAGCAAAAAACTGTGACGTGTATCAAAATTACACAATTATAAATTATTTTCACTTTATTTTTATTCTATACTAATCATCTACTATGTATGTGTAAAATAATAAAACATTTTGATTTTTTTATTGAGAAATTTGACTTACGAGTTTTTGATTTTGAATTAATTTGACTTACGAGTTTTTAATTGTATGTTAATCGATTTACGAGCTTTTAATTTTACGTAAATTAAACTTACGAGTTTTTGGTGACATTTAAATTATAATAAATTTAACTTTAAGGGAATTTAATTAGGAAATATTCTACAAATTAATTGAAATACATAATAAGTGCTGTTATATAACTAATATAATAACAATATTAAATAATAATAAAACAAATCAACTTGATAAAAAAATTAGTTAATACAAAAAACAATTAAATAAATCATCTTGAAATAATTAGGAAATGTTCTACAAATTAATTGAAATACATAATATTAAGTGCTGTTATATAATAAATATAATAACAGTATTAAATAAAAATAAAATATATCAACTAGATAAAAATATAAATTATTATATAAAACAATTAAATAAATCATCTTGATTTAATAATAAAAAATAATAATATTTAAAATGATCAACTGATAACAAAAAAAAAAACAAAATTTAAAATAGATCACTTTTTGTTTCTTTTAGTATAATGTAAATTATCATAAAATTTCCAAGTATGTTTTGGCAATACTTGTTTTAGTTCTTGTAGGTGTTTACATTTTTCTTCTTTAATTTTTATTTCCTCCTTATACAAACTCTTCACCTCAAAATCTATTTTTTTCCTGTTTTTATTAGGTAAAATTGCCCATTGGTCTTCATAATTTATTTTATAATGTATTATACATTCTGGGGTGTACTTGAGACACCTCATTCCTCATCTGAACTATAAACATTATTTAAGAGCTGTTGAATTTCGTCGTCAGGTAAAAGAGACATACCTACTAGGTAACTGAATTATTATATTATAACTATGTACCTACTCTTATTTATTTTACAGTAAGTAGGTACCTAAGTAGTAATATTGTAACTACACCTAAGATAATAATATAATATTAGAATACAAAAAAACTTAAAATTAGCTTAGTGTACTTTATTATAAACACTGTTATGGTGATGAATCATCACATTTAACATGACAAAATAATATTATTATGGCGTTCATATTAATTAATAATAATTTTATAGTCGAGTTACGAGGATTTGTTATTGTACGATATCTAATGAAATTATTACCGGGAAATAATTGATATTATGATATCAAAATGTGCTCAAAAATACAGTGCATCCAATAGATAAAAAAAAAAAAATGAAAATTTCGACTTACGAGGTTTTTGTCTGTAGCCGTCGATATAATATAGTATGTAGTATGGGTTTCCTATGTTTTGAAATAAAATTGTTTTTCTTATGTGAATTCAAAGGTTAGCTAATAATTAATATTAAATCAACAACAGTTTTAATAATTTACAGAATAAATATGAATTTTATAGAATACCTTACGAAGGTAATTTTAGACATTAAAATACGCCTTTTTCTATCAAAAATATATTGTTTTGTTTTATGTTCAGTGGGTACCTAATAAAACACTTAATATTTAATTAATTAATTTTATTTAATTATAGTATTTGTTATTATAATAAAATTACAAATTATCAAAACTATATTATAAATACACGAAAACTAAATTTGTCTTGTTACTCTTAATTAGGTAAATTCTGATTGATTTTACATTTAATGGACTTATTATAATAACATACTTATATAGTTATATTTTTTTGGTTGTAGGTCCGTATCCAAACTCAACCAGGATTTGCAAAACATTGAGAGAAGCATTACCGAAAATTCACCAATCTGAAGGATTGAATGGATTTTAACAAAGCTTAGTGCACTATGGATGAAGCAAATCCCTTACACCATGATGAAAATTTGCATTTTGAAAAGACTATTGAATTGTGTACAAGATGTAATTATTTTATTGAGTTGAATGTGGGTAATTATAATATGTGATAATTAACATTTGTACTAATGTACATTTCTCAAGGAAAAATTAAATGGTAAAGATTATATTTTTTTAAATTTGTCAGCAGTTAGAAAAGTCAAATAACTTGTCATGTACTTACTCACTTGCCAAATCTTTTAATAGTTTCATAGTTTTAGTTTATGAAAAACTGGACAAACCAACCATATTGTTTTTGATTGTATTGCATTCAAGTTGTACCTATAGGTTGTATTGTTTGGTTTTATATTTATTGTTTGTTTTCAATGAAATCAAACACTTAATAACTATTATATTATTATTTGTATGATAATGCTTATATAGTTATATAATATATATATCTAAATGATTTGTGTTATTTATAATTATACATAGGTATTTACGTTGTAAGAAATTAGTATTTACATTTATATAGGGTTTGCTTTTAGATATGTAGTGCCTAAGCCTAGGGCAGAATGCACCAAGGGTGAACAATTGGTTGTGACATTTGGAGCTGGTTACATTGCTGGTGTATTCTGTGCTATTGTTTCCCATCCAGCTGACACGTTAGTGTCTAAATTGAATCAAGCTAAGGGTGCCTCTGCTGGAGATATTGTTAAGAAATTGATTCATGGGTGAGTGTAGTTAATTGAGTTCAATAGTGGTACATATAATTTATGTTAAGTACTAAAAAAATACACTGACTGTAAGAAATTAAAATAAATATTATGTTCTATATGACCAATAGTTTGGGAACCACTAATGTTTTAGGTACTTACTATTTTTGTATATTGATACAAAAATTACCATTGATACATTTTCACTTTTTAGGATTATGGCAAGGATTGGGACCCAGGATTGTAATGGTAGGAACATTGACGGCCGCTCAATGGTTTATCTATGATGCAGTTAAAGTCTTCTTCAGGTTACCCAGACCACCACCACCAGAAATGCCAGAGTCTTTAAAGAAAAAATTAGCACTACAATAATAATATAATGTAATAACAACAATGATGGTTGTAGAAAATGTTAAATTATTTAAAAAATATATTAAAACATAGTTATTCAAAATAAATGTGTATAATTGTATTATGGTACCTATAAGATGATAGCATGGGACTTAAACATGAATATATTATTGCAAGAGAGTGCAGTTTAGTAATTTTTAATAGATTACATACTTAGTGAATTGTATACATATAATACCAGTTACCAATCCATAATAACTCAATTTTCTAACACATTCATATTTTAAATTAACTAAATTATTTTTAAACTTTATACATTTCTAAATGTTTGATTTAAATACAATATATAAGCCTGCTGAACTATTCAGTAGTTAGGCAATTGCTACATCGCAAATAAGGTCCTCACTCCTCAAATACAAAAGGCTTGAGCCAAAAGGTTTCAAGAACAAAAATAATGGGAGACTTGTCTTCCATCCACGACATATACACAATTTTATTTATGATACAATTCAAAACGACCACACATTAAATGTAAATTTATTTATTAAATTATTGTACGAATTTATATAATATTGTATACAGTCATAAAATAAGTATAAGTATACAGTAGAACTTCGATTAACCGTCACTGTCGGGACCGGGGCTATGACGGTTAATCGAATAGACGGTTAACGGAAATTTTGCAAAAAAAAAACTTGTAAATACATATACATACACACATTTATTATATTTTATATTAATATTATATATTTATCATATTTTACGTGTGTACTTTAAAAAAAAAAAAAATACTTACATTGTAACAAATTATAAACATACATACCACACACATTATAATAAAAAATCTGTCATTTTAGTTTGTTTTTTTGATTCTTTAGCTTTTTTAGCAGCAATATTACGTATTTGACGTAGAAGTAAGACTTGCGTAGCATTTTGTAGCACTTGATAGTTACTGTGTTGGGCACGAGTTTATCGCGATCGTCTAATTATTTTTTTTCGGCGGTGACCGATGACGGATAACAGAGAGTGACGGTTAATCGAGTGACGGTTAATCGAAGTTCTACTGTATTATAATTTATATAAGTCTTAGTAACTTCGTGAAATAGATCTTTCGAAATGGAAACGGTCCACCCCTAAGATCCCTTGGTCATACCACATGACGCACATAACCGGACACGGGAGCTTTCAGTGGTATCTGCGCCGCATGGGCAGGGGGCCCCTAGCCCCCGCTGCATGCACTGCCAGTGCGGTTCAGATACAGCGGAACACACCATCTTCCACTGCCCGAACTGGGACGGCTTACGAGACGAGCTACGCACTCGCCTGGGCCACCCTCCCGAGGCCATTGACGGTGAGAGCATCCTGTGTGGCCCTCTCTTCGAGGACCTCCAGAGAAGGCCCCCAGAGATGGTCCTCAGCGAGGTAGAAGAGACATTCAGAATCTTCTACAAAACTTCCTCTCAAGGAAATCGAAGAAAGGGCTCGCCAGGCGCCAGACGCTGCGGTCAACTGATCACAGAACGAGACTCGAGAGCGGCGGGCTTAGGTCGGCTCAAGAAAAGGTACGGGGACGAGAAGTCTAGGATGGCTGGCTTGACCGGTTCGAGAAGACTCTTAACATTAAACAAATAATTATGTAAAGAGATTGTCTGGGGCATGTCTCGGCTGTCCTATGTAGCTACGCTAATGTATGCAAGGCATCATGGTGCTTGTAGCATGTGCATACATATTTTTTTATCCAACTATTTGAACCTTGGGTATTTCAACAATATTTCAATGTTATGGGGTGGCCTGTAAATATTTTGGGTGGCCGGGTCACTCCAGGCCACCCCTTAGCTACGTGCCTGAGTGTACATGTGGCAATTTTGTGGTATTTGTTTTTCAGTGGTCAATACAAAAGTCAAATTGTAAACCCATACTTGTTTGGTATAAAAGACTTCTGTCCCGCTTAATTTTAGTATTGGTTGATTTTGCATCATATTAAATGCAATTTTTATAGTATTCTTGTTTTCAATTTTCATAATCCTATGGAAATGTTTACTCTGTTCTTTATGAAGTGAGTGTTTGTAAGTACATCTTTTTGAATATTATTAATATTGTTTGCATTAATTTCAGCTTTAAGCTCAGTACAATAGCTACCTACATACATCTAAACGAGGGTGTCCAAAACTGAGATTGAAATTTTTGTAAGACATGGCTTTGTATTTATCGATTGAAGCAATGGGTTGATCTGTGCGTTTCATTTCAATTGTCTAAAGAAGATACATTTTATTAAGGGAAAGATTTGGCTGCAAGTAACATTGATCTGAATCTTTACGAGAATAGTGACTTTTTTTGGCCTTAAATTGCTGAATGTGATTAGTAATGGATACAGTTGTAGATGTATCCATTGGTGTGATACGAGCACCACCTATTTTTTCTTTTGGACTTGAATGTGTTTTTCTGAAACCATTTGACAATATATTTAATCTTCTTCTAGTCATACATGTTATATCAGAAAATGCTTTTTCACAAACAGGTATCTTTTCATTTCCCAAAGGAATAAAATACTTGACAACTAAACGATAGTTTTTAGACAAATTTACCCGACGATTTGTTCGTTTTGGTTTTTCCATCCATATGTAGGTATGTTAAAAGAAACTTATCTTGTTCAATTTTTAAAGTTTCTGAGCATAATTTGAATTTGAAACTTTCAATATCCTCTAAATTGATTTCAAATACCTTACAAAACGATGAACTTTTATCTTTGTGTTTACAATTTATTATAAAATCTAATTTAAGTTGATTTTTTTTCAAGTTTAGCAACCAATTTCTTGTTCACTTTCTGTCTTTTTCGACCACCACCTTTAACTATTATCAGATCATAATATTCTTCACCTATACTGAATTTAGTAGGTGAAATATCTATTGGTTCCATCCTAAGATGTGGAATTTAATGAAGTTTCATTAACAGTTCTTAATTCTGAATTATCCGAGTTATTAACAGTGATGACAGTATATGAATTCGTATTTTGGTTTTCTTTAGGTAAAATATTCACTCCATCCTCAAGTATAGTAAATTCCATATTCTCAATATCTAGTAATTCAGCACACAGTTCTTTATCCTTAAACAATTAAAAAAAACAATGTTAATTATTAATTACTAAAGAAGATTAAAAATATCAACTAATTTATAAATATTATTTTGTTTAATATTTGATTCTTCTATTAAAATAAACAGATATATTTTTTAATAAGTTATTTTTAATACTAAATATTGAACATTTGTATATATTATAAATATTATAATGTATTTTAAATAATTTGTATTTGAGTAATTACAATATGATTGCAATATTTATTTAACTCAAATAGTTTTTACCTTGATCTGTGTGATGTTTTGGATATTAAACAACATATTGTGGTCAGACTCATTTGGACTGGGTTGTTGTTCATATTCAGTAATTTCCTAAAATTATTAAAAACATTTTATATATTATTTACAATATACATTATAAATATTAGAATACCCACCGGTATGGTAAGGCATTATAATATTATTATAGTATTAGCAATGTATCAAATGTAATGTTTTTAAATCTTTAATATAATATAATATATTGTTATACTCATAAAAATAAATTAAAAACATTGGAAAGCAGGTGAAATAATATTATAATCCATTGAAATATATTATTTAAGTTTGTTATATTATAAATACTATAATACATGTTATGGAATTTTTCTTACCTCTTGTTGGATAAAGTTAGTGCTTTCAAAAAATGTATTTGATTTATTGGTTAACCAAATTTCTACTTTTTTCTGTAAACAAATTGTGTTCTAATTATAATTTATTATTATGAAAGTAATTTTTGTTCAATATGGTTGTATTTAAATGATATTAGTAACCTACTTACAATATTATAAGCGTTTAAAATAAGTACCTACAAAGTGCTTACCTTACTGTTATGATGGTATGTGTTATCATAATTTTCAACTGGCAAAAATAGCTGTCTTGCTACAGCTGTTGTATTTTGTTGATTTTTCTAAATCAAAATAATTATTAAAACTAAATGAACTTATAATATAGAATAATATTATAATATTCAGTGTGTAAACTAATTTGAGAGTCAAAAGCTGTATTATTTTCTACATCTACTGAATTTCCAACATTAATTTACATACCTACTATATAAATACCTACACTAGGAATATGTGTCTATACTCTATAATATATACAAATTAAATAGGTAGGTTATTAAAAAAAAATATATTAATTTAATACTTTTTTGACTAGGTATGAAGTGTAGATACTGTGTAGTTACTAGGTATACATTTAAGTAGAATTTTGATTTTTGTACCTAACTATTAAACCAGATTGACAGTGCATACAAGAAATTACAAAATTTGTAATACATAGGTATTTTAAATCAACTTCATTGATGTATCTAGGTAATAATTGTTTATTGTCTTAACTTATATTTGACATGTTTAATAGATATTATAGATTATACTACCGATAAAGTTATAGCTTATAAACCATAGAGTAAAGAATATCATGTTATAATAAATTAGGAATACAGTATAAATTACCTACTAATATTATAGCTATTAAAATAAATTAATGTATAATATGTACTTACGTTCATTTTAATTGCGGCTTCCACCAACTTTCTGGATCTCTTTTTATTATTCATATTATTATATTTTATAATATTAGGCGTGTTTTGGCGACGCAGTTTTGAGCAACCGGGTTACTAGAATTGTTTGCTCAATTAACCACTTGGTTGTTATATCGCCAAAACGTTTTGTTTACTGTACAGCATAGAGTATAATATTATAATATTATAGAGGCGCCCTAATTGAAATAATATGATGCTGAAATGAAAACAAAACAGTGTAGGCAAACTATAGAAAATGTTTTATTGTATGTGAACTATAATATAATTATATTACACATTATTATTACTCAATTATATTAACCTTTATTTATAACTATCAATATAATATTATAATATTACTTTAAAACTGAACATTTGAACTATAATAATTAAAATATTAATATAACGGATCATTTTTATACTATATTATATCTATACCTATAAATTATCAGCAAGTAATAATTGTATTAAATCATTATTTATTTGGATGTTATACATTTTTACATGGAATAGAATTCAATAGATTATTAATATTTAGAAGTTATAACTGAAGTCCATCAGTTGATTTGCACAAATGAAATAGTATAAAAAATTAATAATACCTAGTGTTTACAAAACCACTAACCAATAACACAATAGCACTAGTTGGATACATAAGAATTAAAAAACTACAAATAATAATAATAAAATATAGACATGTACATCAAATATAAAATATACAAATAATAATAATGCACATAAATGTATATTAAATAATAAATTTATATAGGTAGAACAAATAATAAAATTATAATAGTAATGATAATCAATACATAATATTATTATATTGTATAAAATTATTTTGTTAAAAAAGGCATATAATATTATTGCCCTCTAAACAAGTTAATTTTATTGTACCAGTGCCTTAAAAATAAATGTTCACTTGTTTTTTTACAGTTATATTTTATTTTTATATCACAATAAACAGAAGTTACTGATTTTATTAAAATAATAAGATAAGGGTTCGTTGTCATATTGATGATTTAATGAAGTTTTCAAAGGGGTATTAGTTGTAAAAGAAGATAATGTTTTGTTAATAATACTTATATATAATAGTATAAATAATACTATGATAGTAAATACTATTATAATATGTTATGAGAGGGTAGACATTTTTGGTGAGGAAATTATCAGATCTATTAATACTTAAATTATTGTAACACACCAACATCTTAGGTTTATTCTTAAAGTAGGTTCTGAGTAGAAAGTATTATAAAATATTCAAAATATTAAATTGGTGGGACATACGAAAAGTTGAAAATTAGCGATATCTATCAGTTGCGTTGTTAGTTATTGGAAACAAAATCCCACATGGTTTGCTTCACATAGCTCATAATACTTATTCTGATAGGACGTCTATATACTCTATGCTGTACAGTATTTTTTTAAAAGTTTGTGGTGATAACTGATAAATGAAAGTGTGATAACTTCTTATATAATGATAACTAAATACAATTTACAATTAATGTTTAATAACTTATACTTATTTTATTTTTTAATTTAAATACCTAATACCTTATTTATTATGAATAATGAAAGCGAATTAGCACTAGTAATTCTAAGCTATATTATGCAGTCTCAAACAACTGTTCTAAAATATAGACAATTATGTTGGAATATATTACAATATAAAATAAATAAAAATATAAGAATACTTAAGTTGTTATTGAGTCGTCAAAGACATGTAAGGTTAGAAAATCCTATAGATACTATTATAAAGGATTATGTAGACAGTGATTTTCATTCTCATTTTCGAATGACTCGTCAAACATTTCTTAAACTTGTACAGATCTGCTTAAAAGAATGTAATTTAACAAAAAAAGTACTCTGGAGGAAATCAACCTTTGTTGAAAAAAAAAATGCTCACAACATTATGGTACTTAGCAAAAGAAGGTTCAATGGGCTCAGTAGCAGAGTTTTTTAATGTGGCAAGATCTACTGTAAAGTGTGTCACCAGAGATATAATTTTAGAATTATGTAAACTGTCTCCAAAATTTATAGCATGGCCTAGTCAAGAAGATGCTCTCATTTTGGCTAAAGACTTTAAGTCCAGATCTGGTTTTCCAGATGTCATTGAGGCAATTGATGGCTCGCATTTCCGTATAAAAGCCCCTTTAAAACAACAGGATTGTTATACTGACCGAAAATTAAACAAATCTATAATCATGCAAGCTATTTGTACTTCAAACTTCTTGTTTACCAATGTCAATATTGGTTACCCAGGCCGTCTTCATGATGAAAGAATTTTTTCTAATAGTGATGTTTTCAAAAAAAAATTGAAACTGAAGGACCTAAAAGCCTATTTTATGGAAAATATCATTTACTTGGCGATCTAGAATATACCAAAACAAGTTGGCCTATTACACCTTTTAATGACTATGAGAATTTAACTGTGAGGCATAGAAAATTTAATACTAAACTAAGCAAGACCAGAGTTACGATTGAAAACACTTTTGGCTTATTGAAGGGACGATGGCGAAGATTACTTTTCATTAATACCAACAACATAAAAATGGCTTCAATTATTATATTAGCTACTTGTGTTCTACACAATTTTTGTTTGCTTAATGATGATTTTTTAGATACCTTAATTAGGGATGAAAATTAAATGGTGAACACTAATCAACGAATTGAAACAAGCCGAGTAGAAAAAAGGATGGGAGAAGAAAAACGAAAAGATCTTCTTAATTTATTGATTGAATAAAAAACTTTACCTAAGATAATATTATAACATAAATTAATTCAAGTACAAAACATTTAATATAATTAATAACTAGTATAAACAAATCAGTCTATATATATCTTAAACATTTTAACAAATTATGAATACAAATACTAATATTAATTTAAAAAAATGATTTTTCCATTTTTCTTCATTGTTTAGTGTAACAAATTTAGATAAATACTAATTACTTAAGATGATATAACATAAATTATTTAAAGTAGAAAACATTTCATATATTTTATAGTGCTGTGTATTATTTATATGTTATTTTACTAGTTCCCCGTTACAGATCCACCCCCGCTCGCCAGATAATTGATAATAGCTTTCAATCGCCAATTTCAAATAACGTTTTTTGCAATTTTTTTGCGTTACAAATACGTTTATTGTTTATTTTTAATCATTAATTATGATTAATGTTATTCGATTTTTTTTGTTTATTTTTTTTTTCATTTTTTTCCGTTATAGGTTCTAAATTATAACGTTATATAATATAACGTTTTGAAGCCCTGCAATCAGGTCGTTCACTTTGTGTACTGAAATACAACATTTATTGCACACGTCTACAGTTTGATGATATCTATTATTATTTATTTAATGTATTTATTAAGTATAAGTATACTATGACTTATGACTTCTACAATACCATAGGTACAGATTATAATATTATAAAGATAAATTGAATTTATATTATCACCTATACATAGTATATTTATAACTATTGTCTATTTATCCACTGCTTTAACATCAAGATTCAAGGTATTACCAAAATGCTGATATGACATTATGATTATGACTTTTATCAAAACCAATAATATCATCTGCAGCTATGCGGACTATACCTACACATTTCAGATAGTCTGGCAATTAGGCAGGTATAATAGTGATATAGAATACAAATAATATTTCTTGTATTTACTATTTGTCATCAGCACGTGGTTAATGAATATAATCAAACCATAGATGTGTGCGATAAATATTGTATTTCAATACACAAACGACCAGATAGTGAAAAAAATTATACGATGTTAAATTGGAGTGACCACTTCATGAAAATTTACCACTTTGTAAAATATTTTCGGATTTCAAGAAGTATAAAATATCGGTTTCCATTTCATGAAATGGTCATCTTTTCATGAAAAGATCGATTTCACGATGTGGCTACGACATATATAGGTACATTTTATTATATATTATTATACTAGCTGACACCTGACCTTGTCCAGGCCCAAGATTTGGAATTTTAATAAATATATTTGTACAAAATTTATATTTCTTCTAATTCTAATATTAATATAATATGTAACCTATTGTAACCGGGTTGCGGTGTTTGCTACGAACAATAACAAATACGACGTTAAATTACTCCGAAATTGTATTATCAGGCAGTTACCACGAAAATCAGATGCTACGAAGTACGAACAGTACGATTGTACGAACGTACATTTACCGCTATATTACAAGTACCACGATATTATTTTAGTACGAAACAACAAACGTCAAAAAGTACCACGATTATAAAGAATAACCGTGAACTGTACAAAATTGAACAATTATTGTCAATTAGGTAATATGTATGTCCTACGAAATACAATATCCCTTTTTTTAAATAGAGTTAATATTTTAACATGTAAATTTAATAACAATATTAACAGTAAATAGTCATTATGAAATATACCTATATTATGGCTCACTTATTTTATGGTTAAATTCATTCAATTCTCCCTGAAACAGTTTCTTAAATACTTGTTATCAGACTTGTTAATTTAATTGTTGGTTAATTGTAACTTGTAAGTACCTACTGAATACTAATACTAATACTCTATTGACTACTGAATAACCTGCTGAATACTAATGTCAAATACTAATACTCTATTGACTATTTTATTATAGTCTATTAAATATCTATATGATTATATTGAAATGTATTTTTTTTAAGTTGCCTACTTAGTAGGCTTAGACCAGGAGCTTTATAAGTCCTAACGTATTTCATTAATCAATATGTAGACTTGCCAGATTATAAATATTCCAAATTTGTACATCAAGCAATATGACTTATGAATAGGCAGGTATGTATCTAAGTATGTTATTTTTTTTTTATATTAGTATGCAACTCCAAATTAGTAACAAGAATATTTGTATAATTTATAATGTTAACAAATAAATATTTGGATGACATCATCAACGGTGTCATCACAAACTTCACAGTTGTCTGGACGAAGGAAAGCACAATCTTCACATCTCCAACCATGGCCACAACTTTGGTACACATACCGTATGCCATTGGGTACATCTCTAAAGGCCCTCAAACAACAAAGGCAGTTGCTGCCTGTTGGGTCCAATAAACTGTTCAAATTATTCATCCATTGGCCTATAATCAAAGAGTGTTAGTTAGTAAGTAATTGAATATTTAAAACCTACAATCTAAATTATCATTAAATGTTTATTATATACCTATACCTAATTATTTGCTTATTAGTCATTAAATCAAAAAAATAGAGAAAACAAGCTTTATTACTGGGTGGGCCTCTGCAATAAAATGGTCCTCATGGCTAGTCATACCATATTATACTATATACGGGGTTGGCAATAGGCAGTGGTTTAAATTTGGCATGTGGAGGAGGCGATTAATGAACCACCAAAATATTTTTCTTAAACTAATTTCTGTCCCCTGTAGTAATCTATACTCCTTTTCAAAAGAGAATATACCGGTCAGCGACCAATTTATGTCAGGCGGAGCGCATTCCCCAACAATTTTCCATTGATAGAGTGATCACGTGGTTCGCGACGCACCAATCGAATCATTCAACATGCTCGAAAGCGGTTTATTCTCTTTTGAAAAGGAGTATATAATATATAACATTAATACTTCCGTTAACGGTCACCTCTATGTAACGGTTAATTTTTTTGGTCCCGTCGAGTGTTATCCTCGTGTTTTCCTACCTCTGTAGAACGGGCACCTCTCAATAGCGGTCATTATTTACAGTCCCTTCGGTGACCGTTATATGAAAGTTCTACTGTACATAGTTATTTTATGTGGGTGTACCTACTCTTTACTGGTTGATCATAATTTTATGTTAAATCTATTTCCTCATATAAATGTGCAAAATAGAGTAACACATACCTAATATAGTTAACATAATACTTAGTCATTGAAAAAAATGTAGGTATACGCCTATTGTATTATCAACTTTTATGTTTCTCTATTATGCATATTTACCTATATGTGAACATTGTTAAAAATAGTAAATTCTGGCTATCATATCAATAAAATAATTATCTTATTTGCTTATTGTGTCTCAAAAAGCATCGATTGTAAATACTATTTTAATATTTAATATTAAATTTAAAAATGTAGTTGGCATTACCATTTCCTATCAATATGTATATACTGAAGGTGTCGTCTATTGGTGTCTTGCAAATTCCACAGTTGGTTTGTTGTTGACCACAATTATCACAACACCATCCATGGCCGCATGGCAAAAGAATGTTGACCGATCCAATGTCTTCATTCCTACCACTAAGACACACAAAGCAACGGTCGTATTCTTCACCTGATAAAAATAAACAGAATACAATTATGTTTGATTCTGATTTATGTAAAAAAAATGGTGATTTCTTTAAATTTATAAATTATAAATATTGGTACCTGGCATTTGTGGTATTGCCACCACCAAAATTTCAGCATTTTCACTCTCTATAATATTATGTTAATAGAAAATTATAAATTAAGTATTACAAAATTTAAAAAAAAAAAAATTATTAAAACCAACTGTTTTTAAATGTTTAAATTTATAAATTGAAAATATAATAAACCAATTTAAGCAGTACATTTTGTAATTATTATTGGCTATTTACCTTGTTGAAGCTGTACATTCGTTAACAAAAAAAATTAACTATGGGTAGGTAATAAATAATAATAATTATTTTATGTAAACATACCTTCTCTGACTATATTTTCACTTGTCTCCACAACAATATTTTCTTCTATACCTATTAAGTGATAAGCGTACATAAAATATGTATATATTTTATTTGTATACTATTTTTTTCATTTTTTACACATTAATGTACTACCTTCAATTTCCTCCGCTGGTTGAAATCTTACTAAATCATAATGCATACAAATTAAAAATAATATTTTTTAAAAAACTATTCTTATTATTCTTACTTACAATTTATTTGTTGATTATTAGGCCTCCCGATCCGATTAGCCTGACGTCCTCTACACCTCCGTCCTCTAATATTAGGTATAGCAGCTATACCTCTGGGTTGTAATCCCATATCCCTTACTACACCTCTTGGCCTTCTGACTTGATTACCTATGCGTCCCGGTAAAGGTGGTGGTGGTTGAAGAGGCATCATTACCAATTGTCCCATGTTTTGGTCTAATTGATTGTCTAATTTTAAATATTTAGATTATTATAATTGTAAAGAATGAAAAACAATATATTTACCCGTTGGTATGGGGCCTATTTGCTCATCGCAGTATCCTCTTGCTGAGTAAGCAACCCGCCTGAGAAATGCTGAGACGTCAAATCGTCCATTCCTAACATTTTGGTATGCTCCTTCCAATAACTTGTTGTTTGTGTCCCTGCTAGTTAAAACTGACCTTCAGACCTGAAACAAAATTAGTAATTTAGTTATTATTATAATAAGTTATAACCGGTTTAGTTCCTTGGTTTTGAAATTAGTTTAGTTTAAAGTAAGTTAATTAAAATGTACAAGTTATAATATGGTTATCTTTAATTGAAAATATAATTTTATTTTTATTTTACTAAAATTCTTTGTTTACCAGTATTTTTACTTGTTTTATATGTACAATCTTTATCTATATTTTAAAAGTGTTTTTAACTTAACAGTTAAGATTTGTCTTAAAAAATGTTAAATTTAATGATAGTTTATATTTATTAACATTTGTTTTCAATAGTTAATATTTTGTTAGGTAAATCGTATATAATAATATATATTATTTTTTTTAATCCCAGATCCCTGATTATCTCATACAGATAATGTACATTATGAAAACAAAATTAGAAAAATATCAACCTCAATCCTAGTTATTATATTTTTAATGGAATAGAATGACTTAAATTAATTATACTCTTCTATATTCAAATATTTTTATTATTAGGTAAAACACGCAGTTTACCATACAAAATAGTGCATATTTTCTATGATTTGTCATGGATGTATGTCATATATTTACCTGGTGACCATTTATAAGTTGTTGTGTCTCCCTCCTTACTCTTCGTTCCACAGAACGTAAGCGATCTGTAAGTATAATTTATCATATGATTTAAATTTATTAATTTAGTTGGGAATTAATTAATTTTTTATATGTTTTAACTTACCATAGAAAGTCCACAACGGTGGATGTTGACCAATTGTAGTCTGTATCATGCTGTGGAAGCTCTCCAAATAATTATTAGTTCTAATACTATACCCAAAAACTGAAAACCCAACCGGTCCAATTGTGTCCAGCCAATAATTTTGAACGTATCGAAAAAGATCCATAATATGATGGTCGACACTCATACTTCTGGCCATTCTTTGAATTTCTAAAAATCCCCCTCGAGTATTGAAGTTGGGTGGTAATTCTTCGCGTCTCTCGGCTGGCAAATGTGGTAGTGCCATCAGCTATAATTGTCAATAAAATATATTCTTTTCTCAATTGCATAATAAAAAATTATTAATTATTAAATTAAATTATCTTTACCATTCTGACGATAGTGGCAATATATTGGTTGTTGCGTACTAGTTGCATTAAATTGTGGGTTTGAATATAGCGCACTATACACTGAAAATAAAATAATATCTTGTAATTTAAAATTGTATTTACATTATTCAAACTATTATTTTTGTGCAATATTTGTTACGATTAGCATAATAATTAAACTTATACAAAATAAATAAATTAATAATTCTAAACAGTAGTATTACATAATAAGCGTTACTATCAAATTAGTGGTGATTTAGTTTTAATTTATTATAGTTCATTGTTTACCAAATTCGGAAATGATCAAAATATTATGTTATGAATATAAATATAAAGAACCTGATTAAAATGGAACCAGCATCCCACCAACTGACATTCTGGTACAACCCTTCTGATTGCATTCCTTAATGCAGTTTCATAGTCTGTGATTACTTGCAGATTATTCCAATTCAGAAAACTGAAAGGAAGATCATTCTTTAGGAATTGCCATAGTCTTGCATATATGTTCTCTGTCCTTTGATTCAGTATAGCATAGACTACAGGGATGGACTGAAACCAAAATGTTTTTAATATAAGTATTAAAAATAGAAATCATATTTTGCTTCTATTTTGAATGTAAGTTGTAATTTAATTTTAATATTAGCTTTATGATACTAAAAAAAAAAAATGATTTTTAAAGATATTTATAAATAAAGAATTATGAACTGGAAGGAATATTATTATAAGATTTAAGACTCACAATATTGTCTAACAGAACGTGTATGGTCACTAATTGATCCATGTCGCTAGGACTTCTTGGTAGTACTCCAAACGTACCATCAACAGCTACAACCTTAGACTGTCTCATGAATGGTGCATAATTTTGCAGAAATTGCAGATTTGCAAAATCCAATCCTCCAAAGATTGATTCTGTACCTATCAGGTACTCTAATGAGCCTTGGAAAAAAAGCATTGTTGTTATTGTCATCTAGTAATGACATCAGTCGTCCACGCCATTCCTGTCAAGCAATTGTTTCACCCATGGCTGCCAAAGAAGCTGGTACAGGTGGATTGAATCTCTGCCGGATATTCCACATCATTCTCAAAGCAACATCTACAGACATTTCTGTTGCTGCATTTGGAAATCTGTGCATTCAATTATAAAATTAGGTATGGGCGATGACCACGCAAAGTGTCATATTTAATTAATTATGAAAAAAAAAAATTATTTAAATGGAGGGGCCAAGCAAGATATTTGATAAAAATAATTTGTAAATTTCTAGTTTAATTGTGTTTGTTATTTTATAGCAAATAAATAAGCTTCATAATAATAAAAGGTAAGCATGTGAGACTGTTCTATTGTACATTGTAGACTGTAGTCATGTGGGTTACTGTAATGGATGTGTTGAGTTTGAATTCAGTCGGCAGTCCTACAGGTTAAAAATTATTAAATTGCCCATAATAACAAATAATTAAAGAGTTAGATCCCTTCCCATTTAAAGAAGTAATTTTTTTTTTATAACGGAATATTTTGGACACTGCTGGTTAGTGGTTGCTTCCCCTTGGGCAATTAGTGTATAAAGTAAAATATCAATAAACATCTATTAGCATTTTTAAGTCAATTATTTTTTATTAAATTGTAATTATTATTTTACCTTCTAGATTCCTCTTCATATATTATCCTTGGTGGAGTACTCTCAGCAGCCGCTCTACTTCTTAGAGTATCCAAAAAATTCCCAATCTCCACATCATGTCCTGGCCTGTGGTTGTGCCCACTATACATGATAATGGGATCATTTTCCGGTTCCAGAGCCATTGACGCTGTTGCATGACATCCTCGTTCGTATCTCGTACATCTTAGCTGTCTGAAATATGTAATAAAATATGTTTTTAAAATACTTGAAAATAATTTTTAAAATTGTCTATAAGCTTTTCACCTTCTATTGGTTGAGGTATGGTTTTGGACATACGTGTAGCCGTGTCCGTCCAAATATACTACCCCCCCCCCCCTCACACCTGGTACTCTTCTTGAAGGGATGTTGTTACTATCACCTAAGATATCTAAAATATTACCACCTAAAGGCGATCTTGAACGTGAACGTCTTTGTTCATCATCTAAAGTTTAAACATTTTGTTAGAATTTGTAAAAAATATATTGGCCCAGGTATTTTATATACCTAAGAGATTTAATCAACATTGTATCAAAAAAACAAACTTTCAAGTCCAGTGGTGGCTATCAAACAAAATAAAGGTGTATCAAATTTTGAATTTAACTACCCACCCGCCAACCCTGATACACAATTTAGTAACCAATAGTTTATATTTTTATGCTACACACCTACAAATACAAGAAAAAAAAGCTGATAAGTGAGTGTCACTCTGCTGTATAGTAGCTAGTTACAAGTGGGTCACTGTAATCGTAATGGATGGTGTTAAATTGAATTAAATGATATAAAATCAGGTAGGTATATTTTATGATAATACAATATATTATAGTGAATAAACTCAATAAAGTAATTTGTTTTACTATTAGGCATTAGTACAACGGTAGGTTGAATTAATTTTACAAAAAAATTGCATTTGAAAATATTATTGTGTGTATAAAATATAATAATATACCTACTCTAAAAGTGTCATCTACTCACGAATAAGTAATAACAATGTTTAAATTACAACAAAATAACTAAAGTCGTTATGACGTTATTGTTGGTTTTAAAATATAATTTCTTCCAAACTTAAAATGTTGTAAAAAATAACTAAGTTTTTATTTTTATATTTTTTTGGTCATAGTTTGAACTATTTATGAGAATCCTTGTTTTAAATTTTCAATGATTATAGCTATACAATTTTAAAATTTTTCAACTAAGTACAATAAATTTGAAAATACTTGAAATACTTGAAATACTTATAAAAAAAGTCGTGTTTATGGATCTTTAATATTTATCAACTGCTATTTTAACAACTTATAAGGAACCTTCTGTTAAATTTTCAAGCTTTTTTACTCAACGAATGCATTTTTATTAAATTTAATATAATATAAAACTAAAAAAATTGAATATTTTGAATGTCTATAAATACCTCAATACGGGTTAACCTATTTTTGAAAGGTTATAATGGATAGAAAATGATAAAATAATCATTCAATGAAAATGTAAAGTACTAGTTTTTGAATAACAACAAAATGAGAAAATAGTATAAGAATTTGTTAAATTACTAGGTTGAATGTTTAATATTATATTATATTATATTTTTGAATATTCAATGTCTAACTTAAAACTCGTAAAAAATTAATTTGTCTTTCCTGTACATTTTAGATTCTGAGTGAAACGATGAATGTATTGATTTTACAATGATGTGTGTTTTTTTTTTTTATTTTTTTTTGTGCCTGTCATCACGTTTTAGGACAGTAAAAATGCTTGGATTTTCTTCAACAGTAACTTTTCTGATAGGAAAGTGAATCTAGTTGGTACTTTGTCAAAAGTAAATATTTCACAGTAGTTTTCAAAAGCGCCGTAAAATTAAGGAAAAACGGGAATTTGTACGCAAAATCGATTTTTGGCAAAATGGAATTTGGTTTTTGGTGTAACATTAAAACACATGACAGTAGTGTTGAAATATACAATTAATATGTAGTATATGTAGTCAGCCTTGACACGTGTGTACAATATAGTAACTAGTTATGTACGAGCATAAGACTCACTCTCTTCACGGATGTAACATGACCTCGGTCGTGCATATATATAGGGCCTTTGATGTATGTAATATTCACTTGCACAGACGCTGTCATACCGAGTGTACGCGGTGTGTGTGTATAGTCACAGTTTAATTGTCCAGTTGTACGTTATTATATATTATACTTATACATAATCATATTGTCGTGTTATTACTTATTATATTAATGCTAACATCATTAGTCCGTCAAGCTTCACTTTCAACAGGTTATGGGCCCAGTCAATAACCAAGACATACAGTCTAGTGGATTCGTGATCGAAGTATTTTTATATTTGTATTAACGCAGAAAACTACAACCAGTCGGAGATATCCTGGAATTCGGAAAACGGCGGAACAGTGTACATAGGTAAAGTTTTGTTATAAATTGTTATACAGGAAAGTATACGGGAAACCATCGGTCATGGAAGACACGGTGAAGATAACAAAATTATGTGCGGAAAACTGGTAGTTATGGAAGTTCCAGATGAAGGTCATTTTAAATGCCTTGGAAGTAGGTGAGATAGTTTCAGGTGAATGGACGAAACCAGGTCTACCTATAAAAAAGTCGGCAGGAGAGACCGACGAGGAAGCCAAAGCACGTTGGCAAAGGCATCCTAGCGCTTGGCAAAAAGCGGACGGTAAATGTCAGAAAATAATAGCTACCTCAGTGGACGATGGTCCATTACAATATTTGATTAACTGTGAGACTGCATTGGAAATGTGGGAGAAACTGCTGAGTATTTACGAGCAGAAGTCTGAGGCAAGTATACATTTGCTTCAACAACAATTTTTCAGTTATTCAAAGGAGTCGACAGATGACATGTCGACGCATATTTCTAAATTGGTCAATTTAGGAAGGAAACTGAGAGTAGCGGGTGAACCAGTTACGGATAACATGGTTATGACAAAAATGCTAATGACACTACCAAAAGAATATAATCATTTTTACAGTGCTTGGGATTCAGTCCCAACGGGAAGTAAAAATATAAATAATTTGACTAGTCGATTGTTGATTGAAGAATCACGGGTTATCCAGATCAAAGGTGAAGTTGGTGAACAAGAGAAATCGAGTGCATTTCCGGCCAAATTTCAAAACAGATCTGATGGAAGAAACGGCAGTCGTAATTATGGAAAAGGTAAAAATCAATTTACGAATAAAAGTAATATTAAGTGTTATTACTGTGGTAAACTAGGTCATTATAAAAAATCAATTTACGAATAAAAGTAATATTAAGTGTTATTACTGTGGTAAACTAGGTCATTATAAAAGAGACTGTAGAAATTTTCTACAAAGTGTACACGGTGGTAAAACCGGTACGATAGGTGCGAACTTGAACGCATTCGTAAGCGAGTCAAGTATAAATAATATTGCAACAGATGCGTGGGTACTAGACTCGGGCGCGTCGGATCATATGAGTGCAAATCGAGAGTGGTTTTCAAGTTATGAACCACTGGACAACACGCAACAAATCACGATAGGTGATGGGACGAATCTGTATGCAGCAGGTAGAGGTAATATTAATATATTATCATACGTAAACGGTAATTGGAATAAAAATTACATGGCAAACGTGTTGCACGTGCCAGGACTAAAATTTAATTTATTTTCGTGCGGAGCCGCGATGGATAAAGGTTTAGTATTGACGTCAGATAGTAAGACGTGTATGTTAACTAAACAGGGGAAACCCGTATGCTCAGGTAAGAGATGCGGAAGGTTGTTTGAGTTAAACATCAAGGTCGAAGTACCGACAAACGGGTGCGCGACGGTAGCTGTCGAAAACAGGTTGTCTGTTTGGCACGAGCGCATGGCACATCAGAATTTACAGTACGTAAAAAGTTGTTTGGCGAAACACGAAATAGTATGTTCGGCCAAGGACGACGAATTCATGTGCAGCAGTTGTATAATAGGTAAACAAAGTCGTAAATCATTTAGTAAAAGTAATACGGAGTATCACAATGTCGGTGATTTAATTCATGCAGACCTATGTGGACCAATGGAGGTAAGCTCTATAGGCGGTTCAAAATACTTTTTGTTATTCAAAGACGACTACTCGCATTATAGAACGGTATATTTTATTAAAAATAAATATGATGTTAAAAATATTTTTGAGACGTTCATAAAAAGTGTTGAAACAGAAACAGGTTCTAAGGTCAAAATATTACGAACGGATAATGGATTAGAATTCGTAAATAAAGAAATTACGGATATTTTACAAAAACACGGGATTCGACATCAGTTAACAGTTCCCTACACACCACAGCAAAATGGAAAAGTGGAACGGGAAAATCGTACAATAGTAGAGTCAGCGAGGACAATGATTTGTGCGAAAAATTTGGATGTATCACTTTGGGCGGAGGCGGTAAACACGGCTGTTTACACGCTTAATCGAACAGGAACCAGTTCAGTTAAAAATAACTCACCATACGAGTTATATTACAAGGTAATGCCAGACATTAAACACTTACGAGTTTTTGGTACTGTCGTATATACACACATACCAAAGCAAAAACGTAAAAAGTGGGACCCTAAAAGTGAAAAAGGAATATTTGTTGGCTATTCGGATAACACGAAAGGTTATCGTGTGTATTATTCGAAAACAAATAGAATTTCAATGTCTAGAGATATTATATTCGAAAACGAAGGTAATAAATTGAAAAATATAATTGCAGACAAATTAGAATTCACAGATACTCAGACTCAAGTCGAGGACGATCCGGTGAAGGTCGAATTGACGACGGTCGACAACAGGAGTGGCATGGTGCTACGTGATCGGAATACATTAAAAGCGCCGATCAGGTATAATGTGTCGTCGTTCGTCGCCAATCTCGTTGAACCACTAAATCGTGATGAAGCGATAGCTGGCCCACAGAAAAACGAGTGGGAGCACGCTATGAGTGATGAAATTAAATCACTACACAGAAACAACACTTGGTCACTAGTTAATTTGCCCCAGGGCAAGGTTGCGTTACGTAATGCATGGGTGTTCAAAACCAAATATAAAAGTGACGGTAATATCGATAAGTTTAAGGCCAGATTGGTCATTAAAGGTTGTTCACAGAAATATGGTATAGATTACCATGAAACATTTTCGCCAGTGGTCAGAT